TTGAATTGCTGTTGCTATTCTTACATATAACCTTACTGCTATTCTTAAAAACCCTTAGTGAGTCTTAAAATTCCTTTCTTTCTCATAAAATGTTTTACAAATCCATTGTTTTGCAATTAGGATAGCAAATAATCTTGTACTATCAGAGAAGTAAGACGATAACTCAGTATTGTCACACATGAGATTGTCTTCCTCTAATTTCTCTGGATTGCATGAATTCATGTATTTACATAATTTTAGTCTGTAGCATATCATACTACAGGTATGAGGGACACTGAATTTAACATAGTAGATGAAAGCCTAGAAGGTATGCAAAATGCCAGATACGTGCTCATGTACAGTAAACTACTTCTGTTTAGCATATACACATGAGGGTGATTACAGATAAAGATGCCATGTGGTTGTTTTTAAATTTCTGCCAAGTTTGGAAGCCCATCTCACTTACGTCCTGGATCAGCTTTCCTGAATGAAGCTGTGCTTTTCTTTATATGACCAGTTGGTTCAGTGAGTCACCAGCTACATCAAATCATCAGAAATGTCATCTCTGGCATGATGCACATCAGCTTAACTGATTGTCAGATCTGGCCAGACTGTTACAGTGATCACTGGTTAAGTGATCATCACTTTGTCAAGATGGGGACCCTCCATGTTGTACTGAAGCAGCAGACTCCTCAGATCCTCAGTTTTACTCTGTATTTATTGAAGTATTGACTTTTGCCATAGAAAATGCTGACCAGGCATCTGGGCCTTTGACTGCCACTAATCTGAGTGTTACTCTTATCTGTCCTTTGAGTGTTAGTCTCTGCATGTTTGCCAACTGATAACTCACTTTGTCATGTTTCTGCATGTATTTACTGAATGGCAGATTTGTATTTCATCAAGATTTTGTCCAAAAGAAAAAGGTGTATAGATTCTGAGTCTTGGGTAAAACTGATGAAAACTAAGATTTTTCTTTCATGCCCCTCCAAAGCCAAACTGGAAGTAAATGCTAATATCCAGCAAAGAGGATGCTGTGCTCTTGCTGTATTGGAAGCAGCCCAAAAGCTCTCTGCTAAGATAAAATCTCTTTTAGGAGTTTTATTACAGCTCTTGAGAGGTTATCCTATATGCACAGCTTTGATGAAATTTCTCCTTCACACAACTCTGTGTTTCAATGCAGACACTGCACTGGAGAGTTTTTAAGCTGCTTCTTGCTTGAATGTACTTAATGGTTTTAGATGTAATGATGACAACCCTTTTCAAAATGGGATCTGACACCTGAGCTTCTTTGTACATTTGTAGTATGGTCACTTGTAAGGGAATTGCTTTGGTTGGCTCTAAGACAAAGGCTTGCCCTTGCTGCAGCTGTGGGCCTCTGGCAGCTTCTTCAGTTCAAGTTTGCTGTCTTCTTGTTGAGTTCACTTCCACCCTGGCTGACATTTCATCATGGGAATTGCCTTTTAAGCCCTGGCCTCTGCTGGCTCTTGAGCAGAGGATGCTCTCTCAGCTGGAAGAGCATACCTACTAAATTATGTGGAGTTGTGTGCTGTTCATTCCCTATTCTATGTGGAAAGACTTCAGACAGGAGCCGTGGCCACCAGTCCTGTATCTGGGATGTTGCAGACAATTCAGAACAGCCCCTGTTCAACCAGCTCATACGGATGTTGTGCTCTCACAGCCTGGTGTGTTCTGGCAGCCTGACACAGCTGGACAGTAGCTCTTCCTTTCTTTCTGCATTGGTTCCTTGCTTTGGTGTAAGTCTGTCTGCACTATAGTGGCTGCTGGCCTTGCAGGATTAATTGATATCTTTGTCAAACTAGTCAAAGTTCTGTCCATGGGTTCACCTTGGGACATCCTCTTTCTTCTGTAACACACTTCCACTGCTCGTCCTTCACTGTCTCCCAGTTCTTTACTGTTTAAGGAAGTTGACCCAGTGGTAAGCTCTTTGGTGCTTAATTCTCACAGTGGGAAGGCAGCCCTGGGTTGGCCAGCAGATGCAAGACTACATGTCTTTTTTCCTTTAAGGCTGGAGTTGTTTCTATAAGCTCTTGGGGAAAACAAAGTAAAAATTGAGTTTTAGTTTGCTGTGGATGTGGAGCAAGTCAGGAGACATCTCTGTGTGTTCTTTAAGGGAGTTCAGCAGTTTCCCTCAGCCTCCACCTACTCATGTTCAAGTGTTGTTGAAAAGGCTTTGTTACTATGTAATACTGGTCAATAAAGTAAAAAATGAAATAAAAATGTAAAAAATCTTATATTTATTATTGAAGTATCTTCTTCTCTGGTGGTTGGTACACAGCCATATTTTGATAATCTAATATGTACCAAGACAGAATATTTTAAGAAGTTACAGTTTTGCTATTTTAAACATTTTTCTAGCTATATTTATTGGTTGGTATGACCCACAGGGGACTTCCAAGCCCACTTGGACTGTGAGTCATATGAGTAGAGTTAAGAGCTGTGATACAGGAGAAGGACTGCTGTTCTCACAGGTACATTCCTGTGAGTATACTTGTGCTTTTTTTTTCTGTTAAATGTGAATATAGTTATATGTTGACATAATATTTTAAGAAAATAAAAATGTTCCTGTTATCTGGTGTGTTTAAGCCAAACTTGGGGCATCCTTAAGCTAAATTCACATTACTTAGAATGTGTTCTAGTTGAATCAGTGGGAATCCTTTGAGTATGGCTGCGATGGCATGGGGTTCTAGGGGCTGTGCTACTGAAAAGGTGAGGCAAATCACAAATTCTTGGATAGTAAATAGTTCTGGTTTGGGAACTTAAACCTTCCCTTTGACACCAAAAGGATATGTGTTGGGGTGGACTGTATGAATGCTTCAGTGCAGGAGAAAATAAGTGTAAATGTTGACATCAAAACTGTCAAGTCTGATTTTTACGGTTAAGACTCGGTTGAGCTGAGTCAAACTTGCACCCTTGGCACTTGTTTTGAGGATCTTTGCAGGCTGTGACAGAGAGCACAGTACCTTTTGTTGCATTTGAAAAGTTGTTCTGGAGTCCATTTTAAAGGAAATTAACACTGCAGCATAAGGTTGTGGACACCAGAAAACATACTTCCTGACTGTGTGACCCAGCTTGACTTCTGAATAAATAGCATCAATATGAAATAAACAGATAACATGGATTTGACTAGAGTTTGTTAATCAGTTTAGGACAGCAGCTCTCAAATATATCAGCTGTGCAGCTATCATTTGATAGTGGGGTTTTCTTGGGATCCCATAATATTTCAACTTTACATACTGAAATTTCTGTTGGCTTTGGCAACATGTTGTCATGGGGCAGGAAAAGAAAGTCCCTACCTGAGGGCTTGTGCCCTCAGCAGTGCATTGTGGACTTAGCCTGCCACGCTGCCTTGATTGAACTGGAATTAGCTGTGACAGTGTTGTTTAGCTTGGGACACAAACCTTTGCACTTACAGTTATTTTTACTAGTGTGCTTTCATTATATTACTGCAATCAAAACCAAGTCTGTTGATCCTCTAAGTAATATTTCAGGTGTTTAATACAAATTACTTATTCCTTTGTTTTTGAGAAACAAACGTGGCAGTTAAAAGCATGCTTAGGCCTCTGAGGAAATTTAATTTTGACACTCCAGTTACTTGTTATCCTGGTGAGGTATTATTCACATATATTAATAATTCCTCCTTCTTCTTTTTGTTATTACTAAGAATAAATCAGTGGCTTTTTTGCTATAGAGTTACGTTCACAGGGCCCAACTTTATTGCACCTGAAGTCATCCTACTTTTAGAACCTTGCAGCACCTTTTGGTGATGTTGGAAAGAGCTTATATAGCTCAGTGACAGATAAATAGCATAAGCTGATGGAATTAAATAGATTGCACTCATGTCTGGGTCTAGAGGTCTGACCAAGCCTTGCCTTCTCTTCTGTCATTTCCATTGCAGGACTTGGCTTGATGAGCCACAGTTTGTAGCAGCAGTGTGCTTCTTCCTAGTCACTTGTTTTTCATGGTTGACCTTGAATAATTTTAATTGGTATAGTGTTTTCTTTTTGATGTGCTGAATATAATTGGGGTTTTTTGTACTTGCTGTCTTTGAGACAATAATATACTGTTTCATTAGGTATTGGCAGGGCAAAGCTGAAGGATTTTTTTGCTTGTTTTAGCAAGGAGAGAGAGTGTCTTTTATCTAGAGGACAGGTTAAGACTTTGGGCTCTGTAGAACTGGCTTCCTTTTTTTTGTCTGCAAGGGCCAACAGGGTACTTTTTGGTCTGGGGAGGAGCTGAATTTTGTTCCTTATTCAGTATCTCTGTCTTCAGTTTGCTTGCCAACAATATCCCGCCTGCCACCTTGCTAATGCTGCCTGTCGCCAATGACAAGCACAAGGATTAGTCTGGGATTTCTTAGTGAAATGACCATCAATGGCATATCTAATGCTGATATTGCCTTCTTTATTTTTTAAACTTCATTTAGGTGGGTTGTGTGATTCTCACCTCTGAGTTACTGCTTTAGGCCATGCTCAGACCTAGGAAGCTGGTAGGTGCTGCATTAACATGTGTTTGATTTAGAAACTGATGCAGAGGAGTGCTTGCAATTATAATGCACAGAGATTTAAGCCTGCGGAAGTTAACGTTTAAGTGTATTCTAAATTCCTTCTGTACTGTAAGAATGATACATACCTTCTATGTAAATAACAGGCCGTATTAACATTTTAAAAACCCCACACCTTAGAACTGGAGCACAGTTATGTAGCATTTGAAAAATAAAGCAATTATATAGTGTCTCATGGCTTATGTAATTTCAGCACACTTGGCATCCTGGTCTTTGTTTTCTGCTTTTCTTTATTATAGAAAGGGTGTTTGTGTGCAAGTGCAGAAAAAAAATTATGCATGTGTGCTTAAATGGTTATGTATCATCCTTAAAGTGTTAAATGGGTCTTAAATAACTTGCTTTTGTTTGGGTTGTGTTTAGTGCTGTGGAAGTCTGTGTAGAAAGGACTATGTGCCTACATTTTAAAAATGAGCAAATTGTTTTAAATTTACACAACCTAATGACCACTCTCTTTTCTGTCTTACCTAACAGCGATAACCTGCTGCGAAGAGCTGCGTGCCAAGAAGCTCAGGTAATGCTGTTTACAGTGATAAAGTTAGATTAAAATCTCCCTCTTATCTTGGTTGTGCAGGGCTCCTGAGATTTTCCCAGCGAGCCCTCTCTACGTGATGAGCCTTATAATGATGCCATCTGTGTTCTTTTTGCTGAAGAGCCAAAGGGTGGATGAGGCCTCCAGGCTGCAGCCGGGGTGCTGAACCTTTTGTGCCCTGTGACCGCAGCTGTGATGGGCAGTGCAGTATTCTTGTCGGGGTAATCTTAGTTACTGCTATAGCTACCCAGACCTCCATGTCTGCAGGTGTAATTGCTTTGTGCCTGTGAAGTTCTGGCAGGAAGGTGATTTCTTGATAAGATAGGAGACTGAAATCTTGGATCCACCACGACGGGTGTAGTCTGGGCAGAAGCAGTGCAAACCCTGCTTCATGATATTGCTCACCTGGAGACCTTGCCCTTGGTTATTCCATCTTGAGTGACTTTATCAAGAGTGCTAAGTGAGATGACTGACCTAGGGCTTTGGAGACCCGTGTACTGGGAACTTAATGGAGACAACTCATTTGCAGATCACTGACAAGAAAGCTCCTTATTCATAGAGACATGTTATTCTATGAGTATGCTGACTATTGTATTTTCTAGTTTGTGATCTGGGTAACCAGCAATGAGCAAATTCCCATACTGTACTACTCCCATAAAGAAAGTTTGTCCTTAATAAGCAGTCTTTCAGGGATACAAGTGCTGCTGCCAGTGGCTAACATCACTGCATAGGTACTACATGCTGGCTCTATTACTGTAGTGATATGCCATAGGATTTTGTGTCTTTCCACCCCCCACAAATAAAATGTATTCAAAACCTGCTTCTCTGTGCCAGGTTTTGGAGGGCAAAACACTGCTCCCATCATTTCTATATACTGGGTCCTGAGAAGAATGGTGAAAATTATTTTTCTCATCAAAGAACTTTCCTTAAGATTACCCTGCTTTTGTGGTGCACCTGAATAATCCCAATTTTAGCCACCCTGTTGTTGAGGTAAAGATATTTAGCACAACTTGGTTTGAGCAATAGGATGTCTGGAGTCTCATGAAAGAATAAGAAAAATCTTTCCCTGAAAATACTGCTTTCATAAATTGTGCTTACAGCTTCAGAGTCAAATGCATTTCTAACTCAGAGCATGAGTTGTTCTTGATTTTTGTGTTTTCAGTATTTATTTTTATGGCATAATGCCAAAGTGATAGAAGGGGTTTTTTTTTATGTCACCTAAAATAACCATTAATACCTCAGTATATGAAGCATGCTGGCCAAATGAAAAAAGATTTTTAAAAGGCATTGATGAAATTTATATATAAGGAGAAATTAAGAGAGCTAAGTTTGTATGCTGTCAAAAAGGTGAAACTGCTAAGGGAAGACTGGTATAGGAAGGTAGTTCTGTTGTAGAAATTCTGACTTTCCTGTTTCTTTACTCTAGTCATTAAGTGATGGGATCTGTTCCATTCTGTCGTATTCTTACAAATGAAAGTGCAAACGCACTGTCAATAGAGCTTCCTACAATTTCAGTGTTTAAAGCCTGGGAAAATATCCTCCAGAAGACTCCTGCATCAGGAAGCAGTGAAGCAGAAAGCCTACTAATCAATTCTTGCTTTAATTTCCATTCTCACTGGTATGTCAGTGCCAAATACTGCTTGAAATCACACAGCAATACAGCAGTAAGGCATTAAATGTCTGCTGTGTTCTTCAGTATAACAACAACCTATAATGGTTTGAAAAAAAGATGCTAGAGTTTATAGTGTGAAGTATTGGGGAAAAAATAGAGGCAAGCTCACCCAAGAAAAAGTTTAGTCAGAGTGAAGTGGGGGATTTTCCCTATCACTTTTACATCAGATTTTTAAATTTTTAAACTTGTTACAACCAGATTGATGAGACGCTCACCTTCCTGCCAAAGTATCAACTACAGCAGTATTCATGCAAAGACTCCACCCTGCATGTCTGAATGGCAGTATCAGTTTATGATGACAGCCTTGGGATAGCAACTGATCATAGAAAGACTATCTTTCAAGAACCCACTTGTCACATTTTAAAGCTTTTACACCCCCATCTCTGGAATAAGCCAGTGTCAGTTGACTGTGGACTACTTTTGCAAATGTGGTCTCACTAGTAGAATTTGTTGTTACTAAACTCTGGGCATGTGTTAAAGGAGTCCTGTTTAGCTGGCAAACAATTCAATCTATGAAACAGAGATAACTTTCTGTAAAGGAATGTAGTTTCTTTGTTAGTATTCATAAAGTATTGCAAAGCCATTTATAAGGGGTTTTTCATAGCTGCAAAATAGTAATTGTCATCTTAGAAATCCAGAAATGAAATACCTGCGAGTGTACATTTGACAAGGAAAAGGCATTGACATTCCTAAATTATAACTTCATTTATATACTTAAGAACAATTTTTATTGTCTGCCTTTAAGTTGTCTTTTTTTTAGGTTGAGCTTTGAAAAAAAGGATTTTGCAGTATTATTTTTTAATTTTCTTTAAAAATCAGCATTTGCTTTGGAAATGCCCCTGTATGTAACATGTCAAAGAATATTACATAAAGAAGTGGTTATGTCATTACTCATACATTTTTTATGAGCCTTGTTAGCTTGTTTAGTGCAAGCAAATAATTGTTTCTAACAGCTGTTGCATGCTAGAGGTCCTCTATATTTCCCAGTTCCCACCCAACAATTGCAATAAAATGGTGTGTTTTCCAACTGATTTTTTAGTAAGGCTTAAGAGGTGTTCATTTGTTTCCCTTTCTTTGAAAATTCCTTTACTCTCAGCAACATCCATCATCCCCACAGGGTCAGTTGGCTGTGTCTTGTGTTCAGTGCAGCAGCCTTTTGTTGCTGCGTCATTTCTGGGACTTCCTGATGGTACTGCTGAATAAGTTTTCCTCCTTGTGCTCAAAACCAATTTGATTTGGTGTGGTAGTTAGGATGCCTAAAAGGTTTAAAATGGAAAGTAAAATGCATGGAAGCTTTGGCTTTTCTTGCCTCTCCTGTGCTGAAAGCTATGGAAATAGCTACAAGGGGCTAAAATTTACAAGAGGCTGTATGGACTAACTCTCAGAGAGTTTAAAATCAGAAATGGCTTAAAAGTTGAAGAGGACTCAAGTGATTTTTATGTTGAGGTACTGGAAAGAAAAAATGTCTGAGAAACAGTGAGCTTGCTTGTAGGTCAGGGCACAATCTCTGGTGATTATCTTTTATATCTGCACAAACTTAAGCATAGAAAATACAAAAATGAGCAGAAGAGGTAAAAGGAATGAAGTACGGAAGTGGAAAAAGATGCAGAAAGAGGGTGGCAGGCAGGCGCATGAGAATTACATAAGGAAGGAGAATCAAGTAACCTTGGAGTCAAGGATAGTTCCCTGGATCTCTGCCCGTGGCAGAAAACCAGAGATTGATAAAAACAGAGTGGTGGTGGAATAGTAAAAATAAGCTAAAGAGTACTTGTCACAGTGGTGTGAGCTGTTCTTAAGAGCACAGGTCTTTGAATAGACCTGTACGATGGCTGGAGATGGAAGTAATTTGAATGTCATGAGGCTTGAAAGCCCATTGACATTTGTAGAGGTACATCATTTTACCTGTTTTACCGATGTGCTTAGAAGATAATTGAACTCTGCTCTTTTTATCTTACTTAGACTTTTGGCAACCAGCTGATCCCTTCCAGTGTTCCACTGAAGAAAGCAACGGTGTTCCTCAACCCAGCAGCTTGCAAAGGGTAAAAATGTCCTTTCCTTACACTGATCTGTGAGTCACTCTTCCAGTAGGGTGACTCTGCCATCCACTATAAAAGCCAGCCAGATTTTTTAGCTCATTTTTGCCTCCCTCTGATGCCAAGCTGGTGCTGTGTAACTTTGCCAGACTGTACTTCACCAAAAAGACTGGAATGAGAAATAGAACTAGATGCTTGAGTTGAAAGAATGATTTTCAAACTTTTATTTTGTTTTTCTTTGATCCTGTGTTTTGGCCTCTGTCATTCCTTTGTATGTGGAATTCCTTCATATTCCTTCCATATTTTTTACCTGATTCATTTTCATCCTCAGTAACTGTAGAAATAAGACATGACCTTGATTGCTTCAAGGCTTGAAGTAAGCCAGCAGTGATCTTACTTCTGTAGGAACCTGTCCTTTAATGGGATGTGCCCACAACCTAAGAGACTAGATATGGGCTCAGAGCAAAACTTCTGGAAGAAGTCATCTGCTATTTTTGTTATTTGTTATTTTGGCAAAAAAACAGTTATCTTGGATGTGATGTTTGTCTGTTTCTGCTGATCAGCTAAGCTTTGTATCAGTTGCATCTTGGGGAGAGGTGGGGTGTTGTCAATAAAGGAATTCTATATCTGATATGGAAGTGCTTTTTGGACTTAGATACTTATGTACTAAAAAATAGTGACTGGAAAATGGTAGGGAATTAAGTCTCTGACTTCTAGTTTCATGTTTCTACTTGTAATCAATTTATAGCTAATGGCATAATTATTCATTCTGCATTATAGTCGGAGAAAGTATGAGTCCTGTACCAAAATAAAAAAAGATAAAATTTTGCTTTTGAACTTTTTGAACTTTGAATTCAGTAATATCTAAGAGTAAATATTTTCAAAAACATGTTTCTGAAAACCTAAACGGGCCTGCCTTGTGGTCTTAAAGCCTGGTGCTCTGTAAGTCATTTATTTTCTAATAAATTTCTTTCTGGATCTCTTTTGTTGTTAGGGGTTTTTTTAATTATTTATGAAGAAAGCTAGATAACCTCTTCTGCATTTTTTAAAAACTGCAATAAAAAGCTGACATCTGAGATATGAGTCTAGAAATGAAACACATTTGAACCAAATGAAATCTCATCTTTCCTGAGTGGCAGGTTGTGACTGATTGTTTAGATTGCAGGCTGTTTTTAAGTAGATTTCTTCTTGTTATTCACTAGTTTCTTTCCTTTTAAATTATTTTAGACACTAGACTAATTAAATAGTTTTTGCTTTGTTGTTTTTGTCTTTCTAGCAAGGCCAGGAACCTTTTTGAAAATAATGCTGCTCCAATTTTACACTTATCTGGCTTGGATGTAACTGTGGTTAAGGTAAGACAGATACATTCATTGTCTGCTCTGTTTTGTCTTCTTGAAGAGTTGAAGTTCAATTCTGAATGCATATGAAGTTCTCAGTTGTCCTGTAGATATGAATCTTTTTCACAAAAGTTAAGCATTAAAATGCTGGTTTGATTAATGCCCCTCTCTGATGATTGAAAATTCATAGTTCCACCCGAAGAAAAATTTGAAAAATTTAAGGCAACACTTTGTAGCTTCAGACCTGAGAAGGTAACAAAACAGGGCTGAGCCAATAACTGAGGCTGAGATGTCCCTGTGAAATACATTAATTTTGCAGAAAATGGTTTTGATGGTTTAGAAGGTCAGTGTACTCTTTACTGCTAAACCTACTGTCAACAACTTGCTGTCAGGCCTTTTATGGAGATGATTCTGTAAAGATGTTGGGACATTTTCTGCAAGAGCATGGTTTGCTTGGGCTTTTGTGTAAATGTAAAACTACCTGAAAATATAATTATTGCTGCAGCATTCTCTATCTATTGAATAAGATTTTTTTCTGGTCTTTCATTTCACCGTGTGTGTGTGTGTTTGCTTGTACATTCTATATTAGGCAGCAGACTTGCTTTCTATGTTAAAGTAATTTTAGTTAAGTAATGTACAGTACTGTGTGTCTATATCAGAATAAGCAAATGATAATTTTTTCTTTTTTTCTATAGAAGATAAATCCTAGAAATAGTCACTTGAGTTCTCATGTTTGACTTTCTGTTTCTTCAGACTGATTATGAGGGACAAGCGAAAAAGCTGCTGGAATTGATGGAAAACACTGATCTGATCATTATTGCAGGAGGAGATGGCACAGTACAAGAGGTACTGCAGGAGTTCTGTCCTGGTTTGTTGAGAATCATAGGCTGAGGGTGAGAAGATTGAGCCTGTGTAATGTAGCAATATCATAACAGCTATTACTAGAGACTAGTATCTAGTAGTTTTCAGTCAATGTTATAATCTTCTGGGGATAAGAAAATTCTGCTACTTGTTTTTAGTCTAAAAGTGATGATGGGAGTGGAGGCAGAAAGACCATGTGACATAACTGTGATCCAGAATTTTATTCTAGAATGAGAAAACAATTTGGGGAGACATGATTTTAACTTTTTTCTTTCTGTGTAATGTAGCTGCAATAGTTTAATTTTCAAGTTCATTCCTATCTGAACTCTCCAAGACGAATGCATGTTCTGCTAAATGGGAATCAAATAATTTAAAAATTATGTTGGAGTGATAACAAAGCACAGTATATTTAATAAATGCCTCTTGTCAAGATGATTAATGACAGGAGCAAACTACTGGCAGAGCTGGGGAATACTCTGTTTTTCAAGGAAGGCTATATTTTATTGAAACATTTCCTGCAATGCTAACTACTGACTTCATAAGGCAAGGTCTAAATGAAGTGCAGTGACCTTATGAGAAAATGGTCAGAATACATCTGTAAGTTTCCTCTGGTCTTGGAGTTGGTTATTGTTAATTGCACACCAACCAGTACTATTTTTGCATTATGCAGAGCATTATTCAGTGTTAAAATATTTGTACAGGTATTGGTTGTGGTGCCAGCATATATACTCATGCACACTCATAACCCTGCCATCTCCACAGTGTTTACACAGTAAACGTGCCTTCTTGCCCATGTAAACAACTGTAGCATCTTCCATGAAAGAGTAGCTGGTCCTTAAATCTTTTACAAGGAGTAAATGTGGGTCAGAATTTTGTAGCTTTCTACTGTAAATGAAAATAAAATTCTCAGAGCTGAGCATTTCCTGTGTTTTTCAGGTCATAACTGGACTTCTCCGCAGAGCAGATGAGGTGAGGAAGTGTCATTTGTTTAAATTTTGTGTATTTCTTAGAGGAGGCGTCTTGTGACTGGTCTCTAGGCCTTAGCAGACGTGTTGCTTATTAATCTGGAGCCAGGTTACCACGTAGTAAGTGAGCCATGCTTGTGTCCTGCAGCTCTGCCCATTGTTCTTCATTCCCTTTCTCAGGGAGTGGGATGGCTCCCAAGTTTTAGGAAGCTTCCAGTGTCAAAGCAGGGACTGTGGAGAAGCCAAATGCAGAACTTGCAAAGACCCATGAACCAGCTGTGAACGCTGCTTTGTTTGGCAGAAGCACTGGGGGAACTTACATGTTTTCCTTGTATTTGTACAGGCTTGAAACTTCAGGATTGCTTTGCCATTTTTGTTAAGCAGTGAATACCTACCTATGCAGATGGCTGCAGAAAGCAAATTTAACCTCTCAAGGTGGATCACTCCAAAAGGATATGAGAGATATTTTTCTTCTTAAAGAGGGAGGACAGTATTATTGAAGAAAGGAGGGAATCATTGTTCCCAAAGCCTTCTGGCGGGAGCTGGCAAAAACTCAATTAAATGATGCAGACAAGATTATGATTATATCCTTGGCAGCTAGAATTGTATCTGTTTAAGCAGTTGCTTTGTCTGAATGTGACAAGAAACTCTGCAACTAAGCCGGTATTTTTAAAAGGGCACTGGCTGTATCAATTCTAAAACATCAGGTTTTTAAGTGTAATGTTGTTATAGTTGGCCTCAGAAACATCTATAATCTAAAGATACTGGAAGAAAAGTTTTGAAGGGTTTGCTGGCTGGTTTTCTTCTCTGTTTTTTAATTTATTGTCTTGATGTAGCTTAGGGTGATTTGCAGTAGCACAGAAAATTCTGCACCCAGCACTGTTTTGGGTGGAATACTGCATTATAGTATTGCCACTGTGCCACTTCATGTCTTTGGCCAGGGAAGTTTTCTTGTCCTTCATATAACCTGTGTCCTAGGAATAGAGATTTGAAGTTCAGGCCCCTCGCTCCATGCTCTGCTTCCCTTTTTACTCAGGTATGTCATACCATTGCTGCCTGGAGAAGAAGAGTCTGTGTTCCAGGTATTCCAGAAACACCGATCCCCACAGCCAGGGGAGCAGAGCGTGACAGCATGAGCTGCAAACAGCCTGTTGTCCACACACTATAAAACAATTCTGAAGAAAATTAGAAGGGTGTTTGAGATATGTTAAAACTTGCAGGTGACACAGAGATAGCAAAGGAGAGCGGGTAGGCATGAGGTGAGAGGGGTGTGATTTAGTCAGTGCAGATTTGCAGTATCATGGTGCTGCTAGCAGCAGTGCCCAAGAGGGAGATGGTAGATTGTGATATATGGTAGTTTACATTGATTTGCTGACATGCTTCAAGAAGCACAGTTTATTCTGAGGTACAGTGTAATAACTTGCTCCTTCAGCAAGCCCCTTCGCTGAACTGTGGTACAGAAAAATAACACGGTCAATGAGTTCCAAAAATTAGACCTTCTGCTGCTTCATGCTTTGGATGCCAGAGGAATCAATTAATTTCCTTAACTGAGAAAACTTCTTTTGCCATGCGAGGTGCCTCTATCAGAGGGGGATTTCGGCAATGGTAAATGAGATTCTGAGCTCGTGATGCCACCATCAATATTAAGAAAGATGGCAGATTGCTGACAGAATCTGTGTATTACTTGGGATGTGGCTGCCAAGCTGCATGTAACAATGCTCTTAATGACTTCTGAGAGGTCCTTTGTACCCAGTTGGCAGTGGTGGGTTCACAGATTTGGATGCCGTGTTCTGAGTCATTATGTGTTACTGCCTCATTTAAGGAAGTGCCTGGTTGCTCAGTGCCAAGGGGTGATAACAGACACAGCTGTGATCTCCACACAGGAAGCTTTGTTCAGCTGATGCAAATGTTCATTTACTCTCCTCATGTGTCCAGGCTGTCTTCAGTAAGATTCCTATAGGATTCATTCCTCTTGGGACGACCTGCAGTCTGAGTCACACACTCTACCCTGAGAGCACAAACCAAGTCCAGTAAGTATTACATTTTTCTTAAAGGGGACTTTTTTGTTTGTTTTCAAGGAGCAGTACTTCTTGGTAGCTTGGTATGTTTCCTTTTCTTCTATGTTCCATAGAAGTTGGCAGTCTCTGGGCAGAGCCTGATGATTTTCTGGACCTACCTGAGTTAATGACTTCCCAAACTGACTAAAATTAAAAGAAGAATATGTATGTATTACTAGAAGATGTACTAATTTGTTGTGGCTAATTTCTCTGTGATTGTGTGATGCTCAGAGTTTTAAAAAGAAAAAACAACAAAAGAATTAAAAGGATCAAGCCTCAGGTATAGTCAGAAGGGATGTAGCAAGAATGTGACCAAAAAAACCCAAAACAAAATAATCTTCTTTTGTCCCTTCTTCAGTTTAAGAATTCTAGAAACCAGTCCACCTACAATCTGGTTAGCACCTGCAAAGTAAGGCATATAAGAATGTCTTTATGGGAAAGACTGGGTCCCATTACTGACTTCTGCAGGGTTTCTCCTCCATCCCTGTAATGGGACCGATGCTGACAGTGTTCCAAGAACTTGAATCTTACCTGTCAGCATCCTGGATGTGATCCAGCCTTGCAGTACCTCTTACCTACGTTTCAATTTGTTGTTAGTTTTATCCACTTCTGAAGTAAAAAGGCAAGTCAGATAAGCTTTCTTTTCCCCACATTTAATTTCTTTTAAATTTTTTCCTTCCTCTTCTCCCATACTAATGTATATATTTCTCCTTGCTCCTGAGTTCTGTTCACTCTGGTTGTCCCAGTAACTTGTTAGCATTCTTTGTGGAACCCTTGCTGGTATCAATCATACATAAAACCCACCAGCCAACTGGTGTAACATCCTTCATTAAAGCTACTGGAGTGCTCTGAGGCTCAGCAAGATGGACAAGGCTGTAATCAGCAGCTAAGATTAAAATAATAATTTATGTTTGGGTTCTAAAGAAGCTGCTTGAAATGAATGATCTTCTTGTCCCAAGGTAATGAACTGTGCAGGTGAGACTGCAGCATATTGGTGAAGTTGAAAGGAATTTGGTCAATAGGCTGCTTAACAACCCACACCAGTAACAGAACCTGACTTAAGAAGTGGAGAAATTATATTTTAAAAAGAAACATTTGGGCTTTGGTTCCTTCAGCACTATTAGATCTTACCTTTGTAGTGTAGGAACTGTGAAGGTCTTAAAGAAAGGCAAGAGTTAGGAGAGAAGAAGGACTGAGGCAGAAAAAAAGCTTCCTTCTCTGTCTCAATATTCTAAGCCTGATAAAGCCAAGGGCATTTTCTCCTTCTGATTCATATGGTTATCGATGTAAAAATTGCCTTAGGTTTGGTTTCAGGTTTGGTTTTTTGGGTTTTTTTCCCATGTTTAGCAGACACTGGAAATCTGCACAATGTGGAATTTAAATTTTACCCAACTTTGAAAACAAGGAAGGGGTATAAATGAAATCTATGTTTCAAGGTCTTAACATACAGACTTCTTTATGAACTTGAACACTTTGGTTACAAAATCCTTACTGCCACACTTTGTGACTTGAAATGAGACAGTGCCTTAGCTGCTGTCCGCAACTTAATGGAGACCAAAATCACATGAGCACTGCTGATAGGTAGATTTCTGTTGATTTAAAAACTTCAAAACAAATTAGCATACTAAGGCAACTCAGTCCCAGACACATGAATTGAGTGTAGTCTCATGGCTATCCCCTCCTCTCACCAATAAAATAAAACAACTGTTTGGGTTCTTAGTTTGCTAAGCACATAACAGAGTTGGCATGTGGTCTTCCAGATTAACTGAAGAAGGAGGAATCTCTGAAAAACTTAGGCTGAGAACATCCTTTTGCTTGTTTTTGTTTGTTAAGAAACAGGCAGTGTCTTATATTGGAGCCACTCAGTTTGCTTTCCAATTTTAAGGAAATGCAGCATTTTGTCAGAGTTCCTTCCCTGGGGTCAACCTGTTTGCTGCAAAAAAAGCCCCACCTGGACTCATAGTGGAGTTTGCTGAAAAAATGTGTAATTTGAGACCCTTTCTCTTCTCCTTCCTTTCTGTTTATTTGTTTTCCTGTTTGTTTTACAGACATATTACTAATGCCACACTGGCCATTCTGAAGGGAGAAACAGTTCCACTTGATGTCTTGCAGATCAAGGTAAAAGCATCTGCTTATTTGGCACTCGGTATTCCTAGAACTTCCCTATTCTTTTGTTGTTTGTGTAATGCTGTCATGAATGTTGGTTTATAAAATCAGCAGTTCTGGTGGCAGCCATTTCTCCACTGTATGCTCTGACATCAGATAGTCTAAACTGGAGAAAACACTAGAGTGCCTGAACATCTTTTTTTGAGGCTCAGAGAGTATTGATGAGTACAAAACTTAATAACAGTGATGCTTCTGTAGAAATGCTGAGAGATAACAATAGCTGTCTGAGCTGATTTAATGCATTCATATGTATTGTGGAGTTAATAGCTTTCTTTTACAAACTGAAAAATGTGAAATGGGAAACCTTTGACAATGCCCCAGATGGGTTTTTAATATTATTTTTCTGTTATGTTGTAGAATGAACATTTCTGCAGCCAGAACTTCTGTGTCACTTTGCAGAGCTCCTTGCTTTTGGCTGACAATATGCCCGAAAAGAAATGGCTGTTGCTGGATGTGCAGTTAAAAATGAGCCTTTTCAGAACTTGACCTTTTATATTCCTCTTTGGGAGCAGATGGAATGTATAACACTTAAATTCTGTTTGCTTTATTGCTGTTAACTATTTATCATACCTTTCCTGGGAAATTTCATTTTTGGGATTAATCAGAAATCAGTATTTATATAGAAATGGTATTTCTCTAGCTGAAAAAATCAGAAGCTGGAAACAAGGTAAGACAAAGTAATTTCATTATGTTCATTTTTCTTTACAGGGAGAAAAGGAACAGCCTGTGTTTGCAGTGACTGGTTTAAGATGGGGATCCTACAGAGATGCAGGAGTTAAAGTTAGCAAGTAAGTACTATGTTTTGAAACGGTACCTTTTTTAGCATCTGTTGCCTAAAGACAACACTCCTCTTGTAAAGAAGCCTTATTTGAGTATAGGCATTTGACAAGCAGAGGTACCGACTCTCACATTACATACATGGGAGCGTAAGACATTTCATCCTTTTAGTCATTTGAAATACTTATTCGGTGTTGACTGGTGCTTTTGAGTATTTACTTTCTGCTTGTCTTGTGGTGCCCACTTCTGGAGCTTCGTACAGACTGCATCAGTGGGAAAAGCTCTCCCTTGAGTAAAGTCTAAGTAAAGTAATAGGCCATTCTTTCTCATCAGTTGCCAATGAAAAGATGCACACAGACTCCGTAACTCAATTCCAACAAGGGACATCAGATGCAGTAGAAATGCCCTTCAATTCCTGCCAGAAATGACATGGACCGTGCTGTCTGATGACTGTTCTCTGAATGCTAAACTAATTATTGTTGGGCTTTCTCCAAATGGACATTTAATATGCCACTGTCTATGTATCAAATGACTAGTATTATCTGGTGCAGAAGCAGCAGGGCCAAAGCAGTTCACGTCTCAGACTGTTACGGAGGAATTGCAGCACATGCATTCCACTTACGGAATGGAGGAGATGCAATAAATGGCCAGGATGTTTTTTCCTGGGAAGCAAGGGGTCTGCTTGGTAGCTTTTGTAGATGCTGGCTGGGCTATGCTGCAGGCTCTCCTTCTGGTTCCATCCCTAGATTGAGGAAGTGCACTTCTGTCCCCTCTGCACTCTCACCAGGCTTTCTGGGCATGCCCTGTACTATACCCAGTTTACTGCAGCAGTCCCGGTTTGTTAGAGTCTTTTGACTCAGTGCTGGAGGCACTGACTTTTGTTCTTGGGGCAGTGTTGACACTTTCAAACATCGTTTTTTTCCATGAATGTTTTTAGAATGCATAGAACATGCGTCCAGCTTGGAAAGTACTTCAGCCACAAATTAATGGCTGCTGAGTATGCTTGGGACCAGTCCCATGTATGCTTGTCCTCATTTTTTACTTCTCCCTAAGCATCCACCTTTGGTCCCTATCAGAGCTGGGTTATTGGGCTAAATGAACATTTGGTGTATTCCAGTACAACTAATTATAAAATAATGCACCTGTTATGAAGACAGTCAAGACATAAGCCACAGTTACAGAAATCTGTCTGGCTATCCCTCTGCTTAGCACTGTCCTGGTGGAGATGTGGTGCTGTTTTATGGTTTTGAGGCTTTATTATTTTACAGACAGTTTCACGAGTTGGTAGGAGTGGTGTGACAGTTGCACACCTTAGTATTTAATGATACGCTTAAATCTGCAGTACTCTTGAGCTGATGGTGTTTTAATGTGCTTTGTTGACCTTCTTTGGTGCAAGACAGTTACTGAAATCTCTGCCAAGCCTGCCTAAATATACTCACATCTTTGGATTTTATGCAATACTTTAAGGCTGACAGGATTTTTATTTTGTCAAACATTTATTTTGAGCTGAGAATCCTTTGGGACAAATTGATGTTGGCTGGCTCTGTTCTTTTGTCAGTGAAGCTATTGATTTTTGTTTGTTTGTTTCCCCGAACCTCAGTCTTTATTGCATATTGTGGAGATGCATCCCACCAGCTGTTAGACTGCAGACCTTTAAATCATCCCCAGATGTGTCACATAACTAGGTAAAAGTCTGCTACTGAGATACCGTGCTGCCTGTAGTGAAGATTGTACACTGCATTTTGGTGATCTGTAACTCAGGAAAGGAACGTCACTGCTAAGCTGCTGGTGATGTGTAGAAACTTACAGTATCACAAAGCTAAAGGTTGTAGGGGAGCACTAACTTCAGTGGCAAATACAAGTCTGTGTGCTCTGACTTTAGGCAGGATTTCTCCTTTTCCCAGTATTAATCCCCTGGATGTCTTCAAAGTTCTACCTGTGTTCTTTTTTTTCAGGTACTGGTACCTTGGACCGCTGAAAAACAAAGCAGCTCACTTTTTCAGTACATTTAAGGTAAAGAGGAAAGTTCTTGTAGTTGGGAAATGAAAAGGCTGGCTATGCTTTGTATAATTTCTCTACAAGATTTATGAAGGGTTTTGGTAACAATATAAAAAGTAACAGTATAAAATGACAGTGAAACTCGACTTCTTAAAAAAAAAGCCACAAACAACTACCAATAGATAGACTTTATCTCTGAACAGATTAAAAGGAGGGTAAAGAGGAAAGTTCTTGTAGTTGGGAAATGAAAAGGCTGGCTATGCTTTGTATAATTTCTCTACAAGATTTATGAAGGGTTTTGGTAACAATATAAAAAGTAACAGTATAAAATGACAGTGAAACTCGACTTCTTAAAAAAAAAGCCACAAACAACTACCAATAGATAGACTTTATCTCTGAACAGATTAAAAGGAGGAGGAATACCAAAAAAAAAAAAAAAAAAAAAAAAAAAAAAAAAAAGTTTTTACTGGGGAGCTCTTTTTTCAA